ATTTTGACCTTACCACAATTCCACCACCTTTTAGAGGGAACTCTGGGCTTCTCCTTCCCAGGGGTCAGAATACCTGGGTTAAAAGAGTTCCTACTGAAAGTCCGTCCATCTCCCAAAGCAGGAATGGAATTTATCAACATGTTCTGGGAGGAGCAGTTTGGTTGTAAACTGAGGTTTGAAGAAAACATACTCAGAGAAAATGAGACACATACTATGAACGATACCAAGCCTGTATGTACAGGTTCAGAAGATCTAAGCCTCACTGTCAGCAGCTACACAGATGTAGCTCAGGTCAGAATCTCCTATAATGTGTATAAAGCTGTGTATGCCATCGCCCATGCTCTGCACTCTTTACTGAGCTGTGATTCAGCAGGCCTTGATGGGGGAACATGTGACGAACAAAAACAATTGACCTCGGAGCAGGTAAATAAATTGCTCATAAAATAACAGTTATGTCCATTTTAGTTTTGCTGAATTAAAAAATGCAGAACTTGTGTCATCTTTTCATGTAGTTGCTGTATCATCTGAAGGCAGTAAATTTCACCACCCAGTTTGAGGAGAAAGTATATTTTGACTCTAATGGAGAGCCAATTCCTTTGTATGACATCATTAACTGGCAGAGAAGCAGCAATAATGAAATAAGGTCAACATTTTTGTCATTTTGATACAAATAACACAGACTTGKTAAAAAAGAGGGCATAAATGGTGCCATTTAATGTGTCATCAATCAAACATTGGAACTAGTTAAAACTTAGAGCAGGAGAGGATACAACAGCTGTACGATTTTATAGGAACCATTGCTAGGATCCAGGCTAGAYGAAGCATCACATCCTATTGATACAGCTGACCAGCAGTGTGCTTATATTTCCCACACTGTTATTCCTTTGATCTGGTCTTACAGCCAAACAATTTCTCAACCTTTTTTTCCRCAGTTAGTATATTATTTTAAGTGTTCATACTTAATGTCACAGAGYAATTAATCTAGTTAAGCTAACCAAGCATACGTGCAAACTTAGGGTTGTTGTCCAACTAGGATTGTGTCCTCTGGACCTTTTTCTATATCATCCCCAGTTTTCTCTACTCACTTTTCTGACTTCACAGCCTAATAAATTCTGTTGATGCTGTCTTGCCAACAACATATGTGTTCTAATCCATATGTTGTTATAGATTTGTCAAAGTGGGGAATTATGATGGTTCAACTCTAATAGGACAGCAGCTCCAGATAAAACAGAACAGCATTATTTGGACAAGAGGGGAGTCAAAGGTGGGAAGGGTGTACTTTGCGCTACTTTTGCATTACCTTCGGATGATAACATAAATAAATCTGTTAATTTTTTACACTTGTTTTGTAAATTGCTTAGGTGCCTACATCTCAGTGTAGTGTCCCATGTCCCCCTGGCAGCAGACAGGCCAGACGTCCAGGAGAGGCTCGCTGTTGCTTTGATTGTTTGCCTTGTGCAGACGGAGAGATCAGCAATCAGACTGGTAGCCAATACTCATTTTCCTTCTTTCATATATACATATTTTATTATCAGTAAAAAATAATTGAAGCAATAACTTGGAAATTGGAATAGTCAGTGCACATTTCATAGTGTTTTTTTAATGTTTATTTTAATGTTTACATAGGTTCCACTGAGTGCATCAAATGTCCAGAGTTTTACTGGTCAGACAAAGACAAGGTGAAATGTATTGCTGGAGTTGAAGACTTCTTGTCTTTTAATGAGACCATGGGCATCATNGCAATGTTTGAAACTAGGAGATGACGAGCCTCTGGCCTTGCAGTCAGACGGGGATGTTGTTATTGG